GGAAGTTCCGCTTTAAGGACTGCTCCCCCACTCCCCATTAAGGATTGGCACCTTTGGGGAGCAGGGGAGGAGGGGCGGGTACCCGAATTTGACAGGTACCCACTCACACTTCTGGTCCGATTGCCTTAGCGATCTCAAACAGAAGGTGTCCTCCCTCCCTGTAGTCTTTTGGGACACGTGACAGGTCCCAGAAGACTACAGGAGCATTCACGAAGCGCAGCACTACCCGCGCATGTGCAGTGGGTATCCGGATGTGAAGCCGCAAAACTCTCACAGCCGGGTGCCCACACTGAAGATGCGGGCCTCCTGGAATAGAGGATGGCCGGTGAAACGAGCTGTGGGGGACACACCACGGGACCGAGTGACAGATAAGTGGCTGTTTTTTTAAAAGTCAGCAGCTACAGTTTTTGTAGCTGCTGGCTTTAATTTTTAGATAGGTTGAGTGGAACTCTGCTTTTAAGGTAACAAAATAATCCCTATATTGTTTTTCAGACAAATAACATTTTTCTTTTGGTATATTGTCTTGCAGAAATAATCTTTTTTTTTTTTTTTTTTTTTTTTTATGCAATCCATGGGCAGAAAAACAGCAAAACTCTGAAAATGCAAATTTCTCTAAATTAATGTTTTAGTGCTTACTGTAGATAAAATTAAACATTTTTTTTCTATAATTTTTCCTGCTTTAATTTACAATAAAAATATGATTTTGGTACAAAGCATGGCAAAGTTTTTTCCAAATTCAAGCGGTACTCGGGTGTGGAAATTTTTTTAAAAAACTACTTGTCCACGGACTAATGCAGGCCATAGATGGGTCGAAAATCGGCCGATTTTTCAGCCGAAAATAAAATCGGCCGATTTTCGGATCGTTAGTGGGCTAATTGTTCGGCCGTTTTTCGGTATTTTGTCAGATTTTTTTATCGGTAAAGCTGGAAAAGAATCGGCCGATTTTCGCGGCAATTATGGGCAAATCGGCCGATCTTTTTACCGATAAAAAAAATCTGCGCATGAGCAGTGACCTGCAAGAGGAAGACAAAAAGTAGAAAAAGAAGAAGAGGATGAAGAAGAAGAGGATGAAGAAGAAGAGGATGAAGAAGAAGAGGATGAAGAAGAAGAGGATGAAGAAGAAGAGGATGAAGAAGAAGAGGATGAAGAAGAAGAGGATGAAGAAGAAGAGGATGAAGAAGAAGAGGATGAAGAAGAAGAGGATGAAGAAGAGGAGGAAGAGAATGAGGAAGAAGAAGAAGAAGAGGAGGAGGAGGAGGAAGAAGAGGAGGAAGAAGAGCAATTCCAGTCCTGCAAAAAGTGTCCCTGCAGAAAGCTCCGCTATTTCTTTGACAGTTCCTCGACATTTATAGTGGTTGCAACAATGTATCTATTTGTTTCCGAATAAAAACATCTGTATCCTAAATGGATACAAATAGATACAATGTTGCAACCGCTATAAATGTCAAGGAACTGTCAAAGAAATAGCGGAGCTCTCTGCAGGGACACTTTTTGCCCGGCTGTAGACGGGATGAAAATCGGCCGAATTTTTTTTTTTCTTTTTTTTTTTTTACCGTTCCTGGTAACGTCGGCCGCTTGAACGACCGATTTTTTGTTTTTTTAAAGATAAATCGGCTGGTTTTCTCCCCATCTATGGCCTGCATAAATCGGTGTTCCAATCTACTTGTCCCTCATGACAATCTACTTGTCCAGATAAAAAATAAATCTATTATATTTAAATCTGAGGTACTTTTAGGAATGTCGGGGCTTTTAAAATCAAAAGCGGCTTTATGGCGACTTAAACATTTCATATTTTTAACATTGCGCTGTTTATCTCCTCCTCCCATCCCTTCCTTTCTCCAGCACCGCACCCGGGGACTAGCAGGGAGGAGAGAGACCTTGCAGTGTAATGAGCACCGATTGGGTGCTTGTCCTGAAAGGGGAGTGTTGGGCTTAACCTTTATCCTTTTTGCTGCCAGAGCCTTTTTTGCATTTTTTGCACAAGTTTAAAAAATAATTTTAGGCTTGAAGATCACACAAAATCCCCAAATATTATATATTTTCTGAAAGCAGAGACCCTAGAGAATGAAATAGTGGTAGTTCCAATTTTTATGTTGCATGATAGTACCGAGATTAACAAAATTTCAGTACAAAATACACTTAAGTTAATTTCTAGGGAACAAAAAAGCCATAAATTACCCTATTTTTTTTATGAAATCTAAAAGATGAGGTTTCACTGAGTAAATAGATATCCAACATGTCAAACCTTACATTTGCGTGCACTCGTGAAATGGCGACGAACTTCAGTACCCTATATTTCCTATAGGCAACACTTTTAAAGCCCCTTATAGGTCATCAGTATAGTGTTAGGAAGGATGTCTTGTGCTAGAATTATTGCTCTCATTCTGGCGTGTGATGATGTAACGTGTATCACAATCAACGTTTTCATGCGTAGGCGCCCCAGCATGGTCTTTTACATTTGTATGTGGGGAGCCTCAATTTTTTTTTTCAAGGCGATGTTATGTGCTTGGCTGTAACTTTTAATATTTTACAATTTGGTGACAGGTTCTCTTTATTGAGAAATCCAAGGTCTAAAAGACCCTGATTGTCTCCCCTGTGCTAGACTGAATGTAATGCTGTGCAAATCACACTGCATTAAATTTTTTCCCAGCCTCTATGGCTGGGAATCTGTCAACGGGGGCCTGGAAATGACATCATAACGTCACTTCTGGGTCAGAACAAGAAGGGGAGGGGAGCGGACGTGTCTGCTCTCCTTCCTCATCTCTACCCGGCGGTGCAAGCTGAATTGGTCCCGGACCTGCACATGGGCAAGCAGAGCCTTGAGGGCGGGGGGGGGGGGGGGGGGGGGGGGCGGAGGCTAGCACTGTAGGCTGTGTGAAAGCAATCGGGTAGCAGCAGCTTTCACCTGACAGGTGAGACTAAAGGTTAAAAAGAAACTACCTGCCCGGTGCCCAGAACTACATGTCCCCGGCATTGGGTGATATAAATTCAACATCCCTGGGTACTAAACCCAAAATGGTAATATATTGCAGCTTACCAATCGGATGTGGTGGCTGCATCATGTTCTTTTTATAGGCTTTTTTCACCAAGTGATCTGACCAATAATACAGTATTAGAGTGCTCCCACTCCAGATGAAGAAGCACAGGAGTACCTTTAGACAGCAGCATTGTCAGTCTGGAGGAGAATGTTAGATGTACTAGCAGATTTAGATACACTAACAAATTGAAACCAAACACCAGCTAACTCTTTATAAGCAGTTACAGCAAACAGTTTCTTTCGTTTTAGGATAAAGGGTTTTTGTTTTTTTTTTTTGTTTTTTTACAGAAGGAATGTTTATTAAGAACATAGCACAGTGCACATGTAAATTGCAGCAGGGATACATAATAACAGAGTCCTGAGCTCTGATCACCATACACATACATGGAAGAAAAATAAGATACAGACTTGGCAAACAACATATAATCAATCATATGAGATCACAGGTGTCTTGTCACATAGGTCATCATATCAGGATAACAGTTTACATAAAAGCTGACCATTGTAAGCACCCCTGTCAGTGGTAAATGCTTTGACTCATCTCTCCAGAGCAGGCTTCGTAGACCAGGAACAGTCCACCGCTGGACCATGGGGGAGCACTGTTTTCTGGAGGAAGGAAGGTTTGGGTGAGTATAAGCTTTAACAACAACAAGAATATGGCCAGGGGAGCTCACCCTTAGTACAAAAAATAATAAAGAGGTACCACCAACACAGTTTGGTGGAGTGTTGCCCAAAAGCACAATATAAATAAAGAAAAGAAAGTAGTCTACACACCCATTTGGTTATTTCCTCATACAAAAGTTTATTATGCACAGCATAATAAAAAGATAAAAGCATCGCAGACCTGTGGCCCAACCCCTACCCCACCATTCCCTACGGACCCCCTTAATACAAAACCCACGCCAGCCCAAAGCCCTACCACATGCACACCACCTCCCAAAATGAATCCCCAAAAGTGGATACAAAACCCAGCCCAGAGCCCCACCACATACACTCCCCCTCCCAACCTGGATCCCAAAATAGCCCCCTGCACACACACTCTCATATGCCCCCAGGAGGAGCTGAGGACTTTGGTCCACTGTTTGCTGATGTCACTCAGCCGGTCCAGCCTTGGAAAAGATCCAGACTTTAAAGTTGGGATCCACCCCAGAGTCTGGAGCTGCACCTGGCTCAGCCCCTCAGTGAAGCGTTTAGAGCCTGAGCCAGCTGCTCCCTCTCCCTGCACAGCCCAGCACTCCAGTGAGCACTGGGGGGGGCCGAGCAGACAGCTGGTTGCAGTTGCCAGAAATGTCTTCTTGAGACCATTATCTGGATCCATTAAACATTTGTTGCCGAAATGTTAAAGGCCCATTCACAATCATGTGCATGCGGTTTACTCCCGCAATGCTGCTGGAGTCATATTTATTTTTGCAAACATGTTAAAATGTACATTTTAGGCCTGAAAGTTCATCATCATGCCGACCAGCAGACTGGTCATAAAAGAAAAAAAAAATTCAGAAATTGCCAGTTGATTTTGACAAAATCTGTTGCTTTTGAGCTAGAGATAATCTGAAATGATTGAATCAATGATCCATTGTTTATTGACATGTTTTATTTCTGTGTTGGTTGGTGAGACTTTTGTTTTGGTCCAAATGGAATTTTCTGTTGGCAGTTCAGAGAAGGTTGAACCAACTTGACCCCTCTGATGTTTTCCAGTGGTACAGTAGGTATGTGTATGGGTATGTGAGAGCTGAGCTGCCACATAATGAAGGCTAAAATCTTGAAGAGCCAACCCAGTTAAAGCTAGAGTTTTTAAGGATATTTCACGATTCCATTTCATCCTGTGTCTGTTACTGCCCCACATATAGTCAGTTATCAATATTTTAAAGTAGGTATGTTGAGCAATGCTGATATATATATCTCAAATCTCTGAGAAGAGAATCATCTTAATGACGCAGAGTTTATTTTTACACTTTCTTTGTAGGTCCAAACTACTGCAGCAGACTTCATCTCCAGTGATATTAGACCCTATCACTCCCACCAAACAGATCTTCAGCCGAAACTCCAGTGTTTCATCGGATATGCTGACGTACGCCGACCCTGGCAAGGTGTCATATCAGAAACGACTAGAAATCCTTGCTAAGATTTATTCATCTTGTATTACAGGTAGTTCTTTCTTGTATTGGGTATTATGTTTTGAAATGTAGCTATTACATGGGAATTCCAAGGGTTTGCATGTGAAATCAGTTTTTTATTTTAATGGCAGACTGCTCTAGGGCAGCAGTGGCACCTGTGTGGCCTGTGAGATAGGATGTATCTTCTACCACAGATTGCTTTTACAGACAATGCAGCTGGTGTTACTTAGTGGGCAGATTTACTTCTATACATTCAGACAGCTTGACAGCAGCCAATAAATTGAAGCCAGTGATAGCTAAAGAATAAATAGGGAGGTGACATATTCAGAAAACTGGCATCCATTCAGCTGCAGCGTGTCCCTCTCTGTGTTTCTATTGCACCCTGGAGGGATAGCTGCAGCATCCATCACCACTGCAACCAGCCTGTCAAAGCTAGTGGCAGGCTGTGGCTTGACGGGTCCTTGTTGTGGTTCAGATCAATGGACAGAAGGTTGTTATTCTTTTTCCTGACCTTCATCCCTAAATGCATTGGGCTCTAAATGCCGGTACCACTCCGTACAGCTTTCAATCCCACCTAGCTGCAGCTTGCTATATACTTTGACTGGTTGGCTGCAGGGGGATGTATGCACCTGTACCTCCCTGGTGTACTGAAAATGCCAGGATAATTCTGAATATGGCCAAAATAAAGGTAAGACCATGTGCTAGTTGAGGCTAAGACCACTGTGAAGGAGAATGCGTGAGGACAAAGAACTACCATCCAGTTCAAGGATTATCCAAGAATGCCAACTTTTGCAAAAGGGTACGATAAGACCATTGGTGGTGTCTGCAAGAGTGTCCCTGTAGGGGGCTGTGACCTTGTGGACTTTTTGGTTGTGCCACTATTACGAGGCGCGTTTAAGTTAAACCAGGACTTAAAATTTTACAGGTATAAAAAGGGATGTTAACGTGGCGGTACTACAGGCAGTAGTAAGTGGCAAGTGTGTCCTATTACTGATAGGCGGTTGTGACGGAAGCATAGGCAGGACAGAACGCACAAAGCTTTATGGAACTATGAAAGACACTCAATCAGGACAATTCATGGCACTCCGCGACATGCGGCTTGTAGGGACACCCATGGTAAGCGGGCTCACGGGGCTCTGACTGTGGAGGCTGCCCTCAACACAGCTCCCACACAGCATACTAGGGCAACATCAGGCTCACGGGGATTCAACAGGACTCTGGCTGTGGAGGCAGCCCTCAACACAGCTTCCACACAGCATACTAGGGGCAACATCAGGTTCACAGGGATTCAATGGGACTCTGGCTGTGGAGGCTGCCCTCAACACAGCTCCCACACAGCATACTAGGGGCAACATCAGGTTCACGGGGATTCAATGGGACTCTGGCTGTGGAGGCCGCCCTCAACACAGCTCCCACACAGCATACTAGGGGCAACATCAGGTTCACAGGGATTCAACGGGACTCTGGCTGGGAAGGCTGCCCTCATCATAGCTCCCGCACAGCATACTAGGGGCAACATCAGGTTCACGGGGATTCAACGGGACTCTGGCTGTGGAGGCTGCCCTCAACACAGCTCCCACACAGCATACTAGGGGCAACATCAGGCTTACGGGGATTCAACGGGACTCTGGCTGTGGAGGCCACCCTCACACAGCTCCCACACAGTATACTAGGGGCAACATCCGATTCATGGGGATTCAACGGGTGGTCTGTGCGCACACTAGGGACAGTTCATGGCACGGGTGGTCTCACCAATAGGGGGGACAGCGAAGAGGGGCTAAAAGGCTTGTAGTCCAGCACCAAATGCAAAGGAATGGTCTCTGTGGCAGATTGTAATCCAACAAGGGGTCATTACAGGAACAGTTCGGGTAAAACGGGGAGACATACGCTCACGGACCCAACAGGGTGCCCGGTCTCCCAGGGGTAAGATAATAGGACACAGGTACCTGTTAAAGTGTCACCTATGGCGATGTAGTTTGTCATTGTACCATGAGCGTGCGCACTTTTAAATAGTCACTTGTTAGGTATCTATTTACTTGGTGTAACACAGTCTTTTATATTTTACCAAAAATTATGTATTATAGTGTGTTTGTGTGCATTAAATTTAATTAAAGTGTGTATTTTCCCAAAAAAATTTGCATTCGAAAAACCGCTGTGCAAATATCGTGTGACACAAAAAATTGCAAAAACCCACCATTTTATTCTCCAGGGCCTCTGCTAAAAAAAAATACATAATATTTGGGATTCTAAATAGTTTTTTAACAAAAAAATATTTGTCAGAAAAAGTCTTGGTCTTTAAGTGGTTAAACAAAATTAGAATTATGCTTTTCTAACAAAAGTTGAGTTACCCTCCAGTCTCAGCTTATGCTCAGGGTGCATTAGATTAGTTAGAACAACCAGTCTGAAGTATAGAATTACATTTTATTTACAATCACTGGTAGGCCATAACTTGCTGTAAGGAGACGATGTGATATCAAAGACAAGCAAAATCAATGTTTATGGAGTTTAGCAAATAAAATAAAACCTGAGCTCTTCTCATTCAACCAGTGGTGCTAGCAAAATGTTGTCTTTTGTTTTTGCTCTTGAACATGATTAAATGTTAAAGTGTATCTATATGCAATTTTTTTTTTTTTTCAATGTAGAGGAAAAAGAAACCCTGTCAAGTTTTTATTGTTGCCTGTGTCCCTCCGTTGGGGATATTTGTTCCAGTGACCATTGTCACTGAGAAGTGATTAGAAATCCACGATTTCACAGTTGTTACCAGAAAGTGGTGAAACTAAATTTCTTCTTGTGACAACCAAGGGAGGGGTTCCATTTTGGGTGGATCTTCTCTCACTTTTTTGTTGCAACTTTAGGAGAGGAAGTGAGTGGAAATCTTAGGAACCGCAGTAAAACATTGACAAGGATTGGCAATACATACACTTTAACCTGAACACCAGTTCATCTAGTTTTCCATCACCTGTATGTCTATCAGCTTTCCTTAGGTTGAAGAAAGAGAGGTGAGCATTACCATGCCTGCTGTTCACCCTAAAGGTGTATTGCCTTTCTTAGTGCTCTGTTACATTCTTGAGTTTGATACTCTCGCTCCCATTTTTGGGAAGTGTTTTCTCTGCTTTTAATTAGATTTGTAATGATAAAATATTGATGAGTTCTATTTTATTTGCAGAAAACCTTGTGCCAAATATATTTCTTGAGTTCTTTTTTGTCCTTCAACTGCTAATATCCAGGGGACCTGTCAGTGCTGAAGATAGGAACTCTGACCTTGAGATTACCAGAGGATTTAAAGGTGACTAGCAACAATATTTCAGCAATGCATGCAATGCTTAAAATATAACTGAAGGCCAAACTTTTATTAGTGTTCAATAACCTATCAGGTTTTTATTGCTGTGTGTCCCTGTTAGGGAAATTCACCCTCTCTATTTGTCCTGGTGACCATAACTTGGCATCTGGTCTAGGAATGTCTGGGGGGATACTGTGCAAGCACAGCAGCAGTCGACACAGACAAGCCTGATAAATTCACATCTTTAGGGACACCAGAAATGCTGTGTAAGCATGGCAGCCGCGGCAGCCTGCGTTGATAAGCCAGGCAAATGTAGGTCTGGAGGGATGCAGAGGCTGCCATGTTTGCTATAAAAAACTGACAGCAGGTAATGCAGGTGCAGCAGGTGAGTAAATGTACCAGTAGGAATTGTAGCAACAGTTCCTCCTGTGGCACTTAGTGGGTTGGTACGGCTACCAGCCCCATTTACAATAGTAATAGGTTGCCATTGGCTGCATCTATTCACGAATCTTTGCACAGCCATCAATTACCTTTGGTGATCTCTGCTGGATGTACTTTGTCTGCGTCCAGCCACGATCACAGGTAATAGCTGGCTTTGCAGATAGCTACAAATAGGTGTGGCCGCCGGTGACCTGTCATAGTGAATGGGGCCGACGGCCACACATACTCACTGAGAGAAGTAGGAGCAACTGCTCATCAGCTATCTTTATTGTTGTTTATCAAAAACTGTGTCAAATATCACACTAATATGTTACCCTCTTTTACAAAAATAAAATTTACAAAAAAATTAAGTTTTATTACTTTACATAGTGATCGTTAACCTTGTGATCTGCCCAACTTTTTCTGCTCATCAACTATCCTTATTGTTAGTATATTTTATGTATGGCCCAAAACAATTGCTCTTCTTCTAATGTTTTGCCTTCCGTTTCGACTTTGCCTCATTCGCACGGAGCATTGTACAGCAAGGCATGTTTAGCTGCATGTGGATGCACAGATGTTCTCTGCATCCCCATGCAGGTAGTCCTATGGATGCTGATTGGAACACAGTGGCTGCACTGTCCTTTTTCAGCAGCCGCAGTCAGTGATCACTTGACATCCTTGTGGGTGCATGTCCCTGAACTCACATTGTCTGCATTTGGGGCCAGGCACCTATACCCGCACGGATCTCAGATGGGGATAAGTGGCTCTGTCCTTGTAGCCGCAGCATCCCAATTGACATGAATAGGACTGCCTGCACAGGGATGCACAGAACACTTGTGCATCCCAGTGCTGGTAAACGCAACCCTTTATGGATTTACAGTTTAGTACACCGCATGTGAATGAGACCTTAGAAAGAATTTTGTAAGTTGTATTGCGTTTGTGTGTGCAGATAAAGAGTTTAGTGGTTTTTAGTGAAAATAGTGAATTAATAAACATTTACGCAACTGTTATGGGGCCTGAAAAATCGTTAGCACTTTCTTTTTATTCTTCTGGTTCTATGATTTCAGAAAATGTATTGTTTAGAGGGGTCTTTTACAAACTCTGAAAGCTGTAACTGAAAAATGAAAACATTCCAGATTTTTTGATTAAGTTGGTTATTTTACAGTTTTGCGTACCTTCGACTTTCACCATTTCGCAAGAAGGCGCAATTTAAAATTTACAAATGTACAAATGGCTCCATAAAGGTTTAGCTGTTATATTTAGTAGGCATTTTGTACAATTTGCTGTGTTCGTGTCTGCTAAAAAATTGCAAAAATGGTCTGGTCACTTGAGCTTAAAAGTGGAGTGCAGGGCCTGGAAGCAAAAGGGTTAAAATGTTTTCACTTTATACCATATTTTCAAAAATCTATGTAGTGTTCATTTTAATTCATTTATTCATGGAACTACAGTGTCACGTGGGGCCTTCTCCTGATAAATGGGCTTTATTTTTCAGATGCCGTGGAGTCTCAGCACTTTCAGAGTGTACACAACTGTGTATTTTTTGCTGTGTTGGTCCTTGATTTTCAGTATACGTGAGTTAATTAATTTTATAGTTATAGATTTATGTTACAGACCATATAAATTCAGGTGTATTTCTGTTTTTTATTTTTTACCATAGGCACTAGTACCCCAGCACTGTCAGGGTATGGGGGAGCAGGTGACCTGCTCCTCCAAGCATGAGCACTGTCGTTTGACCACAGTGGGCAACATCTGTGGTCCCCGTGGTCACCCAGTGCCGGCTTAGAGAGAAGAAAGCTACAAGGTAGTGGGTGTCGCCTAAATTTTTAATTTACATCAATCAACTATGTGCACAAACAACAAACCCATGGACTGAACCCATAACCTCTGCAATAAAAGTACCATGTGTTACAGTTTTAGTGCAGCTTTGACAGCAAACGGCAGAGTGGGGATAGCAAAGTAAAGCAGACATGGTAAAGTCTGGGGGAACGCTAAAGCTCTGAAAAAGAATAATGGAGCATGAAAGAGCTGCTTGGCTTTCAGTATGCCTTCCACTATTCCATACATTGTATAGCTTCTGTTATTAATACTAGTATTACTGTATGTTTTAACACTGAATTCTGTTTATCTAATTGTTACAAGATACTGTGCGTTTTTCTTCAGAGTTAAAGAATTGACAAAATGCAGTACTTTCGTGCTTCTCTTGCAGTGTAATGTCTCTCTTGGATAAGAGCACATTAAAGCTTCTATCAGAAAATGATCGTATTGGGATATTCGCTCCCCCTTTACAGGAACGTCTCTTAGAAGCATACAGAAGCAGTACAGGGAAGGTACATTGTTAAATTCCCGCAGTATTTGATTACTTATTACATCTATTACATTTTAACTTCTGAACATCCTTTGACTGATTGCAGGTTTTTTTAATGAAAGCTTTTTGGATATTCTTAAATAATGCATCTATCAGTGCTTCTACATGAATATCTAGGGCTGTTTCTGTGTACCTCTGTTTATAATAATTCTTCTACTGTCTACTGAGGGACACAGCTTGGTAATAAGCAATTTAGGGTTATACTGCTGCCTACAAAAGACACGAGGCACTTAAATACAGAAAGCCCTTGAGGCTGTAGCCCCTCCCATCTCACACCTGCACATTTTCTTGTAGTTCCCTTAAGAGAATGGATATTCTTTCCCTTCTGCTGTATTTTATTTTTTAATTGGAAGTTTTTTTTGTTTTTGTTTTTTTTTACAGTCAAAAGCTATTCGATTCAGGCTGGATTTTAAAAATCTTTAACGTTTCTTCAGTTAGCCAAGAAGTGCAGGGTTTTCCAGTTCATTGAGATAATTGGTGGTTTTCTCTGCAACAGTCCTGTAGTCAGCAGTGACAACTTGCCTGAGTTCCAGTTAAGAGGACTCCGGTCAGGGCAGTATGGCTCCATTATTGCAACTTGTTGCTCCTTCTGTTTCCAAGGGCTTGTAGTTCCCACAACTTTCTCCAGTTGAGACTGACACAGAGATGACTAATGTTTCTGATTATGTTGGTGTTCCTCCAGAGGACTGATTGTCAGACTCTTCTTTGGAGGAGAACTCCACAAGCTGAATTTCAGTCTGAAGTTGTCTTACCAAAACAGGATTAGTTTTTGTTCTAATCTATGAGTAGTTGGAAATTGAATCACCACATCGTAATATTAAAGTGGAAATGTCAGGTCTAGAATTGACTAGGCTTTGGGCTGCTTCCACCCACCTTCTAACATCTATACTAACTACCCTGTAGAAGAAAGACATACTTTAATACTTACCTATTCCCAGACCACTTCGGTCCAATCACATGACCTCTCCAGTGGCCAGCTTCAGGGTAGAGGAGAAAAAGCGCCAACAATAGATAGAATGCTTATATAGGCTTACTATAGGGCGTCTATTTTCAGCTGCCCCTCCTCTCTTCTGATGCAGGCCCCTGTTAGTCAATCAGGTGACCAGATTGTTCTGAGAATAGGAAAGTATTAATGCAGTATTAAACCCAAAGCCAAAAATATTATATTGCAGCCTACCAATCATTAGATGTGGTGGCCGCATAAGTTTCCTTTTTTTCTTTTTTAGGCGATTTCACCTGGTAATCTGGCCAGTAACACACCTCCTGTATTACATTGCCCCCACACTGGATGAAGGCCCACAGGGGGCACAGCAGACAGCAGCATTGTCAGTATGGGGGAGGGGAGTGTTAGATGTACTAGCAGATTTAAATACACAAAAAAATTTAAGCCAAACTCCAGTTCACGCTTTATGATCAGTTACTTCAAACAATTTTGTTCCTTTTTGTGATAAAGGTTTTACAAAAATAAAACCTGATCATTGTAAGCACCCCTGCCATTGTTAAATTGTTTTTCATCTCTGTAACTGACACATCTGAAAAAGAGCTTGTTCTTTTGATAAACAACAGACTTACTGGCTGGATTACCAGATAAAAATAGAGAACGAAAGCCTAAAAAAAAAAAAAAAAAGAAGCAGCCATCACATCTTAGAATTGCAATATAATAAATGTTTGCTTTGTGGTTTAATACTGCTTTATCCCCCCCGTTCGAAAATGCTCGGCAATCACCCAGCAATGGCAAGTACTCACCGGCCGGGACCCAGTGATTGACATCTGAGGCTGCAAATGGCGCTCGCCCCCTACGTGATTTTGCGCACCAGTGCCGCCCTGTACCAGTACTTCTGCTATAGGGTGGACGGGAAGCGGTTAATGTTACAATTTAGGCTTCAGTTCCCAACTTATCCCCACCACAACCCAAAGTGATCATGGAACACCTACTTATCAACTATTTATCAATATTAAACCACATCTGCCATTTATTTGCCCAGTGCCTTAAGGTCTGCTTGCAAGGCATAACTTTGAAGTATCCCAGAGTTGGGTAACAGTGAGGGCGGAGGAGGGGGCCTGAAAAAGTAAAAACTGTTCCATTGGTAGGCCATTGTTTAAAAAATAGAGGGCTCCTCCACGTGGCCAATTTGTGAATTACGTAAGGCTAGCCTAGAATAAGAGACATTAATTCCCCGTACAGAACAG